AATTATAAATGTCAATAAACAAATTGAAATAATCCATTGTTGTACTTGTACAGTGTACTAGAACAGTTTTTTGGATCTATATCGATCAAACCGCAATCGAAATGTGAACTGGTTGCATTAGTGATTAGAGTTCAATCAAACAGCAATATAAATGGACTACGAAATACAATCAGACGAAAAAAAGGCGTGAGTACCATCGTGAATTGAAATATGCAAGGCACAACATATAAGCGTGGCACATATTCGCAACATAACAGTTGTTTTTCGCACTTTTTCGCACAAGTTGCACGTTGGAGCTTCCCGCATGCATATTGCATAATTATTCATTTTAAGTGTAAAAACCAAAAGTATATCGAAAAACTGGGGCGCGTTCAGTTAAAAAATAGATTGAGTATATAGTCAAAAACTGGGCCGAGTTCAAGGACAAAAGGAAATTGCGGCACGTGCGAATCGCAATTTTCTCCATTCGCGTTTTTTTCGCGTTTGCCGCGACAATTAATCGTGATTTTCTTAGATCCTCGCGAGAAATCGCATATTTTCCTTTAAATCTGTAGGTCAAATATCACGTTCTCCCTATAAAGTATAAGTATATGGATAATGGAACCAATCACGTCCACAGCCTTCTGAATGTAGATACGGACTTCGAAAATCAGCTTATTATAATGATCAGGGACTAGCTAGGGTAGTATGAATAAATGAATCGCGAACAAAGGTAGTTTCTAGAAAAAATGTTGACTTATAAAATGTTCGATCCGAGTCATCTTCGATACGAACCTCTGAAGCCGAAGGCAGAGCTCCCGCTTCTGAGCTCGCACTGCAAAGGGGAGGGGGAGGCCTGCCTTCACTTTCAGAGATCGCATTATAATGGGGAAGCATCGACTCCAAAATCGTTCAAACGTCGAGGAGTACCTTAGCTTATCGGACCTTATTTGAACGGACAATAATTGAACGCTGGATGTCCTAACGTTCAACTATAAATATAATGTCCGTTCAAATAAAGTCCGCCCGTTTAAGGTCCGTCCAAGTTAAACTTAAAGTCCTAGTCCGTTGGAATTTTTTCCAAAATTATTCCACTTCGAACTCATGTCTTATTTTAGGATATGATAATTCTTTTTAATTCCAGTCAATTTTGATTTCTGTCATTGGAATAAACTACCTTATCGGACCTTATTTGGACGGACATTACTTGAACGCTGGAGGCCCTAGCTTTCATCTTAATGTCCGTTCAAATAAAGTCCGTTCAATTAATGTCCGTCCAAGTTAAAGTCCGTTGAAATTTTTTTTTAAATTTTCAATTTCGAACTTTTTGTCCAGAATAAGACAACTTTGAGAACTTTATTGTGCCGTAAGTTAACGACGGAAAGGTCCTCCTTGGTCTGCCGGAGGCACAGAAAACTCTACTAGTATATGATGTTTTCAAGGGTCACTTGGCGGAAAAAAGTCAACAAAATTATGGCACTCAACAACATAGTTCACGAACTAGTCCCCGCCAACATGACAAACTTGTTCCAGCCTCTAGATATCACGGTAAATCGTGTTGCCAAGGACATTGTCCGACGTTGTTATAGCTCATATTACTCAGGGGCGGTAATGAAACAGTGCTAGGAAAGCTCCACGTGATGTTATGGTTAACCTTAAGTTCTCTAAGATAAAACCACTTCACGCCGAAAGGCTTGTAAAAGTTAACACTGAAATGCAGGACCGGGGTAGTTTGATAAAAAAAGGTTTCCATTAAGCTAGAAATCACTGATGCTTTAAGCATGGACTATTTCATGCACGAAAACCCATTTGATGAAGACGATATGTGATATTAAAAACTGATCATGTACACATATTTTAACATTTTTACTGCTCAATGACTGCTTTTTTTACTTACTGTATAAAAAATGGATTTAAAAATCATTTGCTGAAATTTTAAAAACGTCAAAAAAATTGAAAAAAATTCGGATTTTTGATGGTTTTGAATGCCTTCGAGCGTTCATATTAATGTCCGTTCATAATTATGTCCGTTTATGTAATGTCCGTCCAAATAAGGTCCGATAAGGTATATCTATTATACTATATATCTAAGAGATTTACACACAGTATGCACACTCACAAATATGGCAGTGAGTATCCCCGCTCCTACTAAATCGCTCGCCCAAATTTTAAGAAAATTCTTGTGAAAAGGCCCTTTGGGTGTGAAATTGATCTGAATCGGTGTATTTTTGAACGCTGATTCCGAATCACCCCACATGACGTAGGGTAAAAATGCTTCCACGGAGAGTTATGGGCAAAAAACCGTTTTGGTCACGTGACAGGCTAGTATAAAAACATGAATTCGATTGTTTAGGGCTCAGGTTAGGGTTAGGGTTGTGGTAAGGCATAAGTGATAAGGGTTATGGTTAGCTTCGGGGTTATGGTTAGGGTTAGGGTTGGGATTAGAGTTTATAAACCGAGTTTAAAACCGTTTTGTACGGCTGCAAAACCATAAAAACCAAAGTCACGTGAAATTTTTGGGCGAGCGAATTAGTAAAAGCCGAGTATCCCAGCTGCATATAATGCAGTGTACTAATATGTAATAGCAGCAGATATGAGATAACAACACGATTGCTTACTGATAGGCGTGCAAAAATTCCTGAGCTGAATATATAATAGGGCCGGTAGCTCAATTGGTAGAGCACCATGCAGGCATGTAACTCGGAGGTTGGCGGATCATACCCGCCCGGCACTATGCCGACCCATGATTTTCCGAATCGCTTACCAGTGGAAATCTAGTCGATTCAAATATCTGCTTGCTTGGTACTCATGGTCGATACAATCACACTCACAGCCCAACCAAGTACTTGAACATACTATACATCTATTAGTATTATAATACTATACTAGGGGGTGCACGATAAAAATAAATTTGCTCGGATTTTCAAAATTCTTGTATTATTGTTTTTTAGAGACTGTGAGAACTTTCACAGTACCAAATTTGTCATACCTTTTTGGAATGATCGGTGAGTTTCGCCAAGGTGCCATATTTGATGGTTCGCGGCTTTTGGAGCAAAATTAGGTGTATGTAAAAGTCGCGTAATTTGACGAAATTCGTTGCAATTTTTGTCGTATTATTCTGTCATATCTTCGGTTCCACTTCCCAACTTTTTCATGTTTCTAAACATGAATCATGCTGAAAATTTGTCAGAACCTTCCAATCATGGCTTTTACTAATTCGCTCGCCCAAAAATTTCACGTGACTTTGGTTTTTATTGTTTTGCAGCCGTACAAAACGGCTTTACATAAACTCTTATCCCAACCCTAACCCTAACCATAACCCCAAAGCTATCCATAACCCTTACCACAACCCTAACCGTAACCCGAGCCCTAAACAATCGAATTCATGTTTTACTAGCCTGTCACGTGACCAAAACGGTTTTTTGCCCATAACTCTCCAGGGAAGCATTTTTACCCTACGTCATGGGGGGTGATTCGGAATCAGCGTCCAAAAATACACCGATTCAGATCAATTTCATACCCAAACTCAAAGGACCTTTTAGTTTTAACAAGAATTTTCTTAAAATTTGGGCGAGCGATTTAGTAGGAGCGTCGTGCTGTAGGTGAAATCAGTGTCCATGTTGTTATTGATTGTCACTTGTCAGATACTTGTCACAAACATCCTCGGATAGCTATGCCTATAGAAATTGATTTGTGTTTAGCTTGTTATAAAGCAATGGACCGCTCGTCGCGGCGCCGCGATTTTTGACCAAAATAATCTACGTATCGGTTAATTGCAGGCGCTGGCAAAGCACTTAAAATAAAATTATTATCACCTTTTTCTGTGCGTCGCGGGAAATATTAAAATATGTAAGTGTCACCCCCTGTGCGTGCCGGTGTTATATAATTATATGTACTGTGCTGTGTTGTAAATAAACAACACTATTTTAATATCTTTGACAAAAATTCGTAAGTCGATGAATTAAAGAAAAATTGCTTAAAAGTTAGTATTAAAAACATTATAAAGAACCGCAGAGTATATTTTTATAAAAGTTTGACCGGCAACATGACATATTTTAGACTTGACGGATTTTACTCGTCTTAATTTCTTCGAAGTAGCGCGCGCCGCTTTCTTCTCGAAATGTTACGCATTACGACGGCAAGTGTTACGAAGTAGCGCGCGCCGGGCCAGATCATTAACAATGGTCAAATTTTAGACGAAATACTCAAGATGGGTTATGAGATTTGGTAACAGTTACATTTGACAATATTTATCGAACACCACGTGACTGTGAATGGTTATTATTATTTTATATATTTCATCTGAAAATGTTGAGAAAAACTGATGATTCTAATTTAGTCAGTAACAATAAAACTAACAAAACCTGCCAGTGTTAATTTTATTTTGCTCTTGAAAACAATGCATTATATTTATTATCAGTGCCGTACTAAAATTCTGCTGAAAAAAGATCATGGTGATCACAATTTATGATATCTTAGCGGGTGAATATGCGCACTTAACTTTAATTTGAGTAGTATAGGGGGAGAGACTGAGAGATTCACAAGACCTCTGATCTTAGAATTGTCAAATAATTGCCTCGTCAACTTCCACAGAAAGAAACATTATCTTCTGTCTGAAGTTATGACATTTGCAGCAGATCATTTTTGAAAGGTATCTTCCAAGCTCATCCAGTGTCTTTCACGGATCTAACTGCCACCAATTCTTAAGAAGCTACTCAAATCCAAATTTTGTCCTTTTTCTCAAGGTAATGGTTGACTCCTAAGGTTATTAATAGTTTATTACGCTAAGTTAACCGGAAGTACTTTAATCTATAAAGATAACAGCAACATCCGTTTTTGATATATTTCTTGATTCGCAGAATCTGCCAGTTAATACATTTTACTTGAAGAAGCTTTTCTTTTCAATGTTTTTCATTTTAAAGTAATTTAAATGTTACCGTATTTTATTGTTATACATAACTAATATTGTCATTCGTCCAGCCATGTCACTGTAACAACTAACAGCCATTTCCAATAGATCAGATAATGTTACTTTTCACTTTTGCTGCCATATCGGCAGTTCTTCTGTCGCCCGCCTACGCTAAAAAACCTGTAGATTTCCAAACTATGCAGATCAACTACGCCCCCGACCACGCCCTCGACATAAAGGAGGGAGAAACCCAGATTTTCAGGTAGCATATTAATACTATCCAATTATCACAGTGCTGGCAAGCATGACCGTGCCAGGTGCCTCTTATATTCTAATTCACTATACTATTTACCCCCTTTACTATTTACCCCCTTTACTATTATACCTTAATTCCCAAAAATTTGTGTGCTAAAATTACAAAAAGTGGTGCTTCGTAATGACTTAATTCTCCCCGATAGAGAATTTAAAATGTGTTTAAAATAAAGTAATAAATTTCATACGTATCAAATTGGATGTGCTTTCGGTGGAGATATAACCTGCACCTTTGAGTAAAACACCTTTTTTATGGATAGAAAGGTTACTGTTAAGAGTTTCAAGCAACGGTCATTTTACAAAAAGGAAAAGAGTTAAGCATCTCTTGAAAAATAGCCTGTACGACACTCTAAGAACCCGTATTATATGAGCCCTTTTTTGCGATTATAATCCCCATGTTAATTATCTCATACTACAGCTTAACGTCATTTAAGTTGAGATTTTTCTGAAATTTACGAGGTTTTGCAAAAATTCAAACGTTGCTCCAGTCATTTTATTTGACTATATATAGTATATATACGATGACAATTTAAAATCGAGGAAACAGCTGATAATAATGAATGACAATTTGCAATTACCCAAGAAAAATTATGAACCAGTCTATCGCGTCGCATCTACAGGCTGAAGACAAAGTGCCGTTCTCCTGTGCTACAGCCGTACAGGCGCAGGAGAACGGCACAGAAGAGTAATCAGAAGACGACTTCAAGTCTCCGATTTATCGATTCGCATTTCGCATCTACCTGGATATAATACTAATAGCTTATGGTATTAGTTATACGTACATATAAACTACACAATATACAGGTTATTCGCGATACATAATCAGAAGACGACTTCAAGTCTCCGTCGTACTCCGATTTATCGATTCGCATTTCGCATCTACCTGGATATTATAATACTAATAGCTAATGGTATTAGTTATACGTACATATTATAAACTACACAATATACAGGGTATTCGCGATACATCGAAACGGTTTCAAACATCTGTAGACTAGATTAATTCATGAAGGAGTAACCAGCTACCTTACGAGACATATTATACATATACTTCACGACAATCTTGAATCTGTTGTAAAACAGGGGTTCCAGAAAACCCACTTCCCGATACTCCTGAAACTTGAAACTTTTTTGCAGTCGATTTGGTCAACATCTAGACGCCCTGCAACATTTCAGATCTCTAACTCAATTTTAACATGGTTTTTAAGGCACCTGAATATGGCAATTTTGGATTTTTTACTGAATTTCGTATAACAGTGCTGGCGCGTATTTTGGGCAAATTTCTTAAAAACCTCCACATAAATATTTCTAATTCCTGTTATCTTTGACATTTAATTATATTATAATGTTTTGAACTTAAAATATGCTTGCTGAACGACTTCCGATGAGTCTTAATGCCTGGAAAACAGTAAAGGGGTATAATAGTAAAGGAGGCATAATGGTGTTTGTATAAGCTTATATAAGGGAGACAGTCGTGCTTGCCAGCACTGTGATATTGTAAAGTGACGTACACATTCTCACATCGTAAATGTAAGTTTGTATGTCCAATGTGGTTAAACTTAAGGCCTTATTTCAAACATTTTCCACTTCGAACTTTTTGTCCAGAATATGACAACTATGAGAACGGAGTACGCATAGACTTGAATTCGTCTAGCAGCATTTAGGTCACCGCGTAATTACCTTATCGGACCTTATAGTTATTTGAACGGACATTAATTGAACGCTGGAGAGTGGAGGCCCTAGGCCTAGCGTTCATCTTAATGTTATGTCTGTTCAAATAATGTTCGTCCGTTTAAGGTCCGTTGAATTTTTTCAAAAATTATTCCACTGAGAACGTATTGTCCAGTATATAACAACTTTTTAATTTCAGTTAATTTCAATTTCTATCAGTATCATCGACTAAACTATATATCAGTCTATCATTGGATCAATGAAAAACAAGCTATTATAAAATTTCAATATTCTAAATATTCTAAATATCATATTATGGCACTTCTGCACTTTCTTGATGAACGGTTCCTCGTTCATTTCTTTGGAGTTACTATCAATCTACCTCCACATCTTCTAGATCTCTTACAACTGGTTATTTATCCAACTCGTAGTTGTAGCGGGTTATAATGAACAATATCAACTGCTCTATCTTAATCTATATTATAGTGTACGCTATAATAATCATATAGATCTATAACGTTTGTTTCAAAACATTTTGTACGTACCTCATGCGGTACGGCTTTGTATTAGAGATTCCTTAAGGCAAGCTGATCCTCACAGTCTGATCGTGAGACCTAAAAAAATGTATCGAGATCTTTTTTTAAAAGAGAGGTTAGGCCAAGATACCTAGCCCACGAGAGGATAGCATTGAGATGCTCTCGAGATCTGATCCGGTTAAAAAGTCTATATGCCAGGTCCTTAGCATACGATCACAGAGTCTAATGGCATGAAGTGCACGATATCGGAAATTACAAAACTGTTAGGATACATTTTTAATTTTCGAACAGTTTTGAAATTTTCTTAAAACTTTTCAGTAAGCTTTTAATTCTCATGTTCCAGTCCTGCAGCTAAATCCTTAGATAGGACACAGGTACTCGGTTCCTGAGTTCCTGGTCGTATGCAATATAGGTTACCCCTGGGGTTACCTTATCGGACCTTACTTGGACGGACAATACTTGAATGCTGGAGGCCCTAACGTCCATTTTAATGTCCGTTTAAATAAAGTCCGTTCATTTAACGTCCGTCCAAGTTAAAGTCCGTTGAATTTATTTCAAACATTTTCCACTTCGAACTTTTTGTCCAGAATATGACAACTATGAGAACTTTATTGTGCCGTAAATTAACGACGGAAAGGTTCTCCTTGGTCTGCATCTGCCGGAGGCACAGAAAACTATATACTAGTATAGATAAAACCACTTCACGCCGAATGGCTTGTAAAAGTTAACACTGAAATGCAGGACCGGGGTAGTTTGATAAAAAAAGTTTCCATAAAGCTAGAAATCACTGATGGCGATGCTTTTCTTTAAGCATGGACTATTTCATGCACGAAAACCCATTAGGTGAAAATGATATGTGACACTGATCATGTACACATATTTAAACATTTTTAATGCTTAACGACTGCTTTTCTAACTTACTGTATAAAAAATAGATTTAAAAATCATTTGCTGAAATAAAAAACGGTTTTTGAAAAATGGAAAAAAATTTCGGATTTTTGATGTTTTTAAATGATTTCTACATTCTACCGTTCATATTAATGTCCGTTCATAATTATGTCCGTTCATTTCATGTCCGTTCAAATATAGTCCGATCATAAGATAACTGATTTTGAGGGAGTCTTTGAGTACTTTGTGATCACTTACAATCGTTGTACGCGGCTTTGTTGGGCTGCATTTGTATTGAGAATTCGGTGCACGGTTACGTGATCTAGGTTGTAAATTGTGTCTAGTTCAAGGATTGGTTTTATGTATCGATAAGGTAAGTTGTGTATGTATGTAAGGAAAGTTTTGTGATTTTTGTTCTTTTAAGGCTGCAGTGAGAAACGAATTCGACATTGATTTTGTATTTAACCTTTTGAAGTAATTTAATGTTAAGCGAATTGATTGATAAATCAAAGGAATTATTCCTGTTTCTCCCCATACAACTACATTTGATGCTTTACGATGGACTCCCCTAGTAACAAGTAAGAGCATTAGCATTTATTCTTATAATTCGAACTAAAATCGAAATTATTACCAGATGTTATTATCGAAGTTATCAGATTTCAAAAGGATATATAGTACCCGTTGCCGGGGTGATTTTGTCAAGTTTAAAATATAATATACTAGAAACCCGCTAGTCGAAAGCTTTGTTCGAGGAAATTTTAAAAATCAGTTATGTTTTAATTTCTCTTCATCATACAGCTCTGTTATACAGTAGACATAATTGAATTTATTTAACAATGGCGACAGCGTTGTTAGTATTCGGATTCCCAAAACGATACTTTTTACCGCATCAAAAAATACCAATCACAACCAAAGTTATGAATATAAGTCATAGCGTGAGCGTAAATGTGAGCTAGTTTTGAAGTTATGACGTAGCATACAGCATAACAACGCGCGTAGTTAAGATGTTCTTGCTCGCGCACGTGCATTTTTATCGTTGCTACGCAACAGCGCAGTAAACCTTTGCTAAAATAACGCCATTATTCTAACGATTATTTAACCTCACTTCCGACGTTAATTATAAAAAATCTAAAGCCTAAATCAAAATTCTAAGAATGCTATAGCCTATTCCTATCCTTTTTCTACAACCCTGCTAAAAATGGCGAGGTTTCAACTCCATTTGCGAGCTGGGTTTGGCTTCACCAGAGGGTCATTTTGAGGTCGATTTTCGGTGTTTTTTCTTCTATGTCCCCGTTGCCGGGGAAATTTCGTCAAGTTTAAAATATAATATAGATATGTAAAAGAAATGAGAAGGTTTAAAGATTGAGTAAAAATCTAAATGCAATAATCTTACATAAAGATTTAAAAATACAGAAAATAGCAATATCAAGTGGAACAAGTAGGATAAGGAATAAGTTCAGCATATTGTGTTGAGTCCTACTAAACTGAATTTAACTTTGGTTACGCACGCTTAAGTAACCTAGTTCAAGTTGTGAAGATTTAATAAAGTCCGTTATCTAGTCTGGTTACGGTCGCAGTATCTGGAAATTACCTGGAAACATATGTTCCGCCGAATAGAGATTACGTGGAATGAAAAACTGAGCGCCGCCTAATAATCTGGAAATTGATAAGAAAGGTCATTGCATTTGAAGCATGAAGAATAAATTAGTGAGGAAAAAAACCGATTTGTTTGAGATTAGAAATTGCCGTTTGGAGCACAATTTTCTCAAACGGTAGTACGGACTATAACACGTACAGAAACACAAGACACAGCAAAAAAAACCCTAAAAAAGTCCACTTATCACTCATGAAGTGG